CCCCCCCCCCCCCCTCCACCGCCACTCCCAACCATCTTTTCTCCCGTTTCTCCATTTTAAAGTTATAAATCCAATGCTTCAAAAATTCAATTAATATAATATCAACAAAAAGAAAAAAAAAAAGATCAACCGAAGCAGACAAAAAAAAAACCGACGGACAGTTATCTCAAACAACAACAACGACAACAAAAAAAAGCATCTTTTTTGTTTCCGTTATCAGAATCCAAAAAGCAACACTGATAGCCTATTAAACCAATATCATTAACTTTAAAAAAAAAAAAACAATTGTTTTTTTTCCTTTGTTTCAAGAATACCAATGACGATACTAATGATCTTAGATAGGTAAACTCTGTTCATTTTTTTATCCCCGTAACATCTTCAGTTACATTGGCAACCAGTTTTTTAAACTGCCCATAATTTATATTCATTAAAATAAGCAATCAAAATTGTCCACACAGTATGCATCATTCTTCAGCCCTTAAATTTTGTCACAACATTTTATAAATTCAAATTTGCACTATTCTTTTCTTCTCTGTACAGTATTAATAGTATAGGATCAAAAAAAAAAAATAGTCAAATAAATTAAAGGGAAGCAGAGAAAAATTAAAGAAACTTATAAATGATTAGTTCAATAAGTTTTTGCAACTAATAGTATAAATAACCAATTGACAATCACGTTGCAGCTTTATTTGAGCTTTCCTTTTTGAATGAATAAAAAGAAATAAAAAAAACTAATCCTATAAATAGAAATTTCTAAAGATTTTCCACTATTCAAACAAGTAAAAAAGAGGTGGTTTTGGAAGAAAAATAAAATTTCATGAAAATTATAGCAAAAAACCTTTTTTGTTTTTCATCTTCACAAATATTTTAGAACTTCTTCAAACAAAAATTGAACCACAGTAACTGATTCTTTGAAACGATAAACGTCAGATACTTTGTGCACTCTGTAACTGCTATAACTGTTATTACTTATGGTATTGCAGATAAATTTAAGATTTAAAAAAAACTGCACTACTGGTATTTCAATTTTAGAGTTCAGTGAAAAAAAAAACACATAAAGCTTTGAAATGACAACAGTAAACAACTCTATTTAATATTATGAACAACAATGACAACAGTAACGAACAATTGACAATCACTAAGAAACAAACTGAAACAGAATAAAAGAATCGTGAGGAAGATTTCTTGTAACAGTTACGCTTCAAAACTTTAGAAGCGCAGAAACAGAACGATAAAAGTAGAGAATAACATTTTCACTTGAAGTGGACAGATAAAGTATTCTTGCAACGGGTGATCATATCTATAATCCTATAATAAAACACAAACATTTTACTAACAAAAAACAAAATCTTACTTTTAGTTGCTGCATTCAAACTTTAAATCAATTAAGGGAAAGAAAGCACCAAAAGTAAGAACGTTATGTAGTTTCAAATACAAAAAATTCATTATTTACTTATTATGATAAACAATAACAATATTCAGAAGTGAAAAATTTCTCGACTTTAATTTTATGAAGCTGTTTCCAACACAGTTTTTCAAAACCGTTTTTACAACAAACCGATGATGACAGAGCTAAAAATTACAACTTTTAGGAGCAGACTGTGGAGATTAGTCAAAAGACGCTTTGTTCTAAAAAGTGCCTAACTAAAATTTACCAGTCCCAATCCAGTGGCAGTAATTGTTGAAGTTCCAGTTTAGAACGTTAAAAAGCTATAAAACAATCTAGTTTTCTTAACAAACCTTCGAGCATAAAAAAAGTAGCAGTCTCATTAATAATACAGCCTCATATCTACAAGCTATTTACAGCACTAAATGTTGCACAACAATGAAAGCTTTTTGCCCACAAATACCCTTATTACTTTTTCCCGTTTGTCCCATCTCTTTTCTTGATGGACCGAACAGCAAATTTTGTAAACCTGCTATAACGACGCTTTAGTCTGTCTGCCCTCTTTGCATATTCTGTACGCATTTTGTAAGTCACTTCTTTCGCTGTCTTTAATTTGCCCATTTTTTGAAGTGTCGTGAACGTTAGTTTTATCCCAGCAATTGTGGTAGCATACCGCAATGGGCTAGCTATCTAAACATTATGATGTAAATATTCAAGAGAAACACAAATGCCCGACAGTGACCATCTATACCGATCAAACTGAACTGGAATTTTAAAATACAGTACAAAGCAAAAAGACAAGAAAAATAAAAGAAAAGCAGTAAAATAAAACAGCGGCCAAAACTTTTATTCATCCATAAAGCTTTACTGTATAAGAAGAGCAAAATTTTGAGACCAAAAAGACAAATAAATTAGTCAATTAATGCCTTAAACTTTGGAGGGGAGGAGGGTAAGTGAATGTTATAACTTCTTTCAAAATTTGAAGAATCAGTTTTTCAAAACTTGGAAACGGAAAAGCAGAAGTAACAACCAACCCCACTGATACAAAAAACTAACCTTGTATAGAACAAAAGCAAGGGCAGCGTATCCTGCATGGGGAGGCATATTTCTAACTTTCCCAATTAGATATTCAGGGACCCTTAAATGTTCCAAAAGCGAAACTACATCTACTCCACTAAAACGAAAACTATTAGAAAAGTATAAGAAGATCGTTTAACCTTTTCTTATTAAGAATCTTTTCAAAGCAGATCTTGGAATGACTTTTGCAAATCTAACAAGTTTCACACTATTGATACAGATGTTTTATAAAGTGTTACAGATAAAAAATCTTAGATAAACTTTACCTCTTCACTGCGAGAAAAGCTGCTGCGTACCACAGCAAACATGAGACAATATGGACAGGAATTGCAATGTACCAATAACGTTTGACGTAGTATTTAAGTAAGGCCATGCGGCCCTCTGGTTTCTTCTCCTGAATAAATTTAATTAACATAACCACTTAAAGATCTGTAAAAAAATTGAGGTGAGTATACGAAAAGAAAAGATGATTCAGTTACCAAAGCTGTAAACTAATAAGAAAGCTCGGAAAAGTCAACGGGAATCTTGGCAAAATTAGTAAACACTCTAAAATTGAAAAAGCATGCGAAAATTCTTGAATAGTAACATTAAAAAATAACTTTTTGCATTTTCTGAATTTCATCCATCTTTTTCTTCTTCTCATCGTCGTCCATTCGTATATGAAAGTGCTTCAAGGCCTAAACGAAAATGGGTTAGATATATAAAAACGTACAACAGGATTAGTAGAACCTGCAAGAAGCAGGTTACTTTAAAGTTAAATCACAACATACTTTGGAAGACGTAGAAAAATTGGCGACTGAACTCCATCTACTGCATAGAGACACAGGACACTGGTCGGTGATCAAATTTTTTAGCAAAGCCCCTCGCAGTACGAAATAATGGCTCAGGTGATATTGTCTAACGTTGGCATTTCCTGTAGGATTAAACAAACGCATCCCACAACTCGATAGAACCGGGAAGAACTTGGAAAATACAAAGCATTCCGACCGGATCAGCTGACTGCGGCACAACACTCGTAAGAGCATGATGCCTTCAGAAAACTTAACAATTATTATACAAACGTATCTATAGCAAACTAGGAACTTTAAAGCAAAATGACAGATTTGATCCCGGAAACAAGCAACCCAACCCACCCCTCATACTTGCAAGGTTTTGGTTCATACAATTGACTCACGCCGCACTAAAAAACTAATTAAACAAAACCCCTGTCCCCCACATTCATCAGGATCTATCTGTCCCGACTTCAAAACGTACTAGTTCTCAGCCACTCGAACTGGCCGGTACAGCACACAACCTGGGAAAATGCAGATGGAAAAGCTATCTTCCGTTTCGTTTACAACCTTCAGAGTCGGAGCACCCCTGTAACTCCTCTCACCAAGACAAACTGCTTAAACATACTTTAAAACTTCAAGTCAACAGCCCCTGCACAGGCCAATACGCGAGCTCCCTAAGAAAATATTTCTCCACATATTTATTTCCAGTGAAAGAAATCCATAAATTAACAAAGGTAGCCTTGCCCGTAGCAATTGTACATCAACGTTCATTGAAACAATTCAGTTCACAAACCTTCATCACAACAAAAACTTACAACAAAATACAACAGCAAATTATATCTTCCAAAATTAACAACTATTTTAAATTAAGCATGAACGACGCTATGAACAACAAGAGGTCTCGAATGAGCACATCAAAAAGAGGAAATACAGTGAAAAATTCTACATTTTATTTAAGACTGTAGACTACTCTTACACAAATACACGTAGTAAAGAAGACCCCAGAAAAGTAAGGTAAATATTGTTTCGGAAGAGAACGGAGCACCCCTCGATACACCCTAAAATAAATAATGTATGTAAAAACAACTAGAAAAGACTGAAGCATAACGAACACCAATAAAACCCGTGTCCGGTAAAGTTCAACAAAGTATATTTCTCCTACTAACAATAAACTCTAAAAACATTGCACTGCTACTTTCAAAATTAGTATTATTTACACCATTTAAAGAAAATGAACTCAGTATTCTGAGATGACTTAATAAAAAAACTTACCGGATGTTTAAACTGAACTGTAGAGAGAGGTTTCACCGGTTTTGACTTCTCAGTGCTTCTTTCCATCTAAATATTGCTCAGAGTAAAGAACACTGGGAAGAAATTATATATTTGAGAAACAATAAAACTTCACGAAAAACTTAAAGCCAAAGTTGATGAGATGCCTTTTGCACAAAAAATCCTTTTCAAAACGATAGGCAATAAATCACCACATGACACTGCTATAGCAAAAATAATCATTATTTGTTCCCACAGTCAAAAATCTTCAACCGAGTAGGAAAAAACTGTAGCACATAAACATTCCAAACCAGCACTACTGTTCCACTCAGGTAATACCAGTAGCTTATAGTCATTTTCTGCCAATTAACATAAGCTCTTGTAGAAAAAAACTGTGTTTAAATCAATAAGATTAGGTATTCTGTTATCGTACACTTACCTTACGGTACGCTGCATAGCCGTCTTCATCGTAAATCATGACTTCAAATGTTTGAGATCCGGACTGGTCATGATCTAATTGCCAGGAAATTTGATATTTAGATGTTTCTTCTGATACTGCTGCCTGGTAAACTTTGCCGTTTACCACTGCGTAAACAGCCATATCCTAAAAACAGCAATCATGAACAATTCTTAACACTTAAAATAGAAGTAAAATAAATATTTATTGAAAAATGAAGTAAAGTAAAAAAAAAAGTAAGAAAAAGACAGTCTGTTATTGTCTTCTAAAGCATAGAATTATACGCTTCTTTGAATCTCACAATGAGGAGGAAAGGCTAAGTTAAAAAGCTTCCCTGGCAGATGTAGACAGCACAAAAAAGCGACGGGCGAACAAAAGGCAAGCAAAAATTCTTTTTATGAAGAATCTTTTGAAGCAAAATAAATAAAGAGAGCAGTATTTATGAAAAAATAAATAAACCCAAAAAATTTGTTTTAGCAAAAACTAACGAACTAACTAACCAGTTTCTCAACATATTAATAGAAAAGACTTTTGAGGGTTGCTAGTACAGACAAAAAAAAAGGTTAACCTTAACATTATTTCCACAGTGCAGCGTGAATTCAACAATGTAAGTGGTGGCAAAGTGGAAAAACGCGTCTGTTGTAGAGAAAGTCGTGGCAGATAAATTAGGGGACTCACAAGACATACCTAAAAATTTTATAAAACTTTGAATTCACATGTTTTTTGAACGATATCTCTACCACTGCTATGAGACATACAAAAAACTATAAGTTTGAGCCTTCTGTACAAATCTCAGACTTGAAATCACAGACATAAAGAAGAACCGACAAGTTACAAGCTAAAAAAAATCAATCTATAGCCAGGTGAGTCTAAAGAACTGAGTAACTAACAAATCAGTAATATAGCTAGAGAAAAAAGTAATCTAAATTCCACTCATTTCACTATCGAACAGTTCAGTGACAAATCTTACAAGTGTTCTTTTAATAATCAAATTTCTTCAGTTCCTCCTTTTACAAAATGTTTAAACAAACACCTAATGCGGAAAAAACAACACTGAGTTAAAGGCTATGACTAACCATAAACGCAGGACACCAGCGCCAAAATTCCAAAAAGATTGAAGATCCTCATATTTCTTCGCTCACCTGAAAGTCGAAAAAATGAATTGTATTAAAATAACGGAGATAATAAGGCGCATACGTAACAAAGTACAGGAGACAGCTGTACACCGAAACTTTTAGACTAAGTCAGCTTAAAAACTTCGATAACAACCGGTTATCGCTTCCGCACTGTCCCCGTCCTGTCCCAAAGCTCCGTTTAAACCTTTTACGAGTATCACCTTAATTTTTTCAACGGCAGACTTTAAATCTTACTGTATAGGCAGTTTGATTAGAGTTTCAAGACCTGCAATTTTAAAATCACATGATGTTTTTGAGTTGTTGCATTTCTGACAGCTCTGGAAGTTAGAGCAGTCAAGTTACAGCGCCTCCAGTGATGACATAAACGTTTGTCTGTTAAATATCTCTGTATGTCATATTTTTCCGTTATGCTTTAATTTTTCATTTTTTTTTGCCTTTTATTTTTTGTTGCTTTGCAGTTTGGTTAATATTTTACAGTTGTTGTCTGGAAATAACTCTTGGTGTGAAGATACAATGATCTGTTTTGGTAGTCGTTGTTGTGCTAGTGACAGGAGCTGAGAAAAGAAAGTAAAGAACCCAGACCAAAAGATGGATTTTTCTTCAGTTTACCTTTCTTTTAGATTTTACAAAATTATTTGTAGTGTTCGATGACCAGACCGATAAAATGCTGAAAATTGTATAACCGTAAGACGGTAAATAAACAGCAACGGCAATAACAATACGAGCAGCGCTCTATTGGCTTAGCGGAAAAGGCACGTTTATTGATCAGAGTGATGATAAAGTGAAATTGTAGCATGTAGGCGTAGATATGGATTGAATTATTTCGAAAAAAAATTATAGAACAACTAATGTTTAAGGTTGGGAGAAAAAGTAGGAAGCAGTTGTTGGTAATCTTTATCAGAAATATTCCTTTTGCACCAATTCATTGAAATGTTGAACAGTTGCAAAGGACAACAATATAAATTTTGGGGTTAACAACTGAACTAAATTCAGTTATTTTTAGACTGAAAAGCCTTTTCACTAATTTTGCAAATGTCAAGTAAACGTTGATTTTATAATGATATATGAGCTTGTTAGTTAATGCATGATAAAAATTACAAAATCATCAACATCTTCATCCGTTTTTAACATACTCTTTTTGATGCCGTTAGTTAGCAATCACCTCTCATGGAGAACTTTAATTTTAATAGAATTCAGGCAGGTGTGGACAAATAACTCTAATTGCTTTTGGAATTTTATCCGATGCGGCCTGCCATTTAACTCTCTGCTTAAATACTGTTTTAAATGATAGTTTTTCCCTTTTTAATCAGTAATTTTTTTTTTTGTTTCCGCTGAGTCTAAAGAGCGTAAAGCATGACTACGCTGTGGAAAGTAGAACATGAGTTTTATTTTAATCATAGGAATATGGCCATTTCACTAGTTAGTATTGATGAAAAGCAATGCCGTTGCACAGGTGCGTTTTGGGAAGTTTGCAGCTGCAAGAAAAGCTTAAATAGTACCCTAAATGAGAAGCCCATTTTTATGGCCAGCACTTTACATAAAACGAAAAGCTCAGTTGCTGGCTCAGAAGCAAAGGCTCGAACTTGACTGTGTAAGACTAGTAAAGTTAAATAAGTTAATAAGCAAACTTCTCCTGAATTATTGTCTACTCCGCATAGGTTTTTCTTCTATAGGTATCAAAAAAAAAAACTTTTTTTATGGTGCATTTCCTCACTGATGACCCGCCGCGAATTCGATTTATGCTCATATTGTTTAGTTTTAAATTGCTGAATAGGATAGTGAAAATGAGTGAAATCTTTCATAAAAGATAGTTTCATTTTCTACTAGCAGCGATGTAATCATAAAGCGAAACGCTAAGCTAGTCAGAAATAGACTGTAAAGCTTGACGATTATTGGTGGGAAGAATAGATTAAAATTTTCTGTCTGATAATAATAAAAGAATTTTGGAAAGTAAAAAAAGTTTTTTGTAATTTTCAAATTCTTTTCGTATTCTAAGCCATCTCCGAATCACGTGTTTTGGCGTTCCGGACAGTACGTTCTCAACCAAAATTTGTAGAGCAGGATAGCGGCTAGAACCGGTCGTCTGTTATAGGTCGACAAATATTGATTTTTAAAATGATAAAACAAGTTTTTTTTTTTCTTTTTTCTGACTACATTGTAGTGATTATTATTGCTTTGAGTCCATTTTAAAATAATGATTTTGAACGAGTTATAATTTTGAAGGTTGAATTGTGCTGTTCTAAAATTTATTGCTGTGTTTTTAATAATATGTTTGTTGCAATGAGAGCGTTGCGGTTTTGAGTGACGTTTTGTTAACCATAGTCGTAGGTAATCAAGAAAATGCCGAAAAGGAAAAGGACTTCAAATAAAACTCGAAAAAGGAGAGGAAAAGATTTAGACGAAATTCATGAAGACCTTAGACCTGAAAAAGTTGCAAAATTGATGAACCAAGAAATCGATTTAGACCTTCCGGGTACTGTACTTGCTTGCTTCCGTAAATCTTCGGATTTATTGCAAAGGACTTCGATCTTCATCTATCTTTTCACGTGAACTTTCTGTTTGATTTTTCAGTGAAAAAACATTTTTAAATGTTGATTCATTTGGACCTAAACTGCAGTAAAACTTTCTATCTATAGTTGTCATCTACGTTTAGGCAACGGCCAATTTTACTGCATCGAATGCAGCCGATATTTTATTGACGAAGGTGCCGTGAATAAACATAAGTCTTCTAAAGGTTTTTTTCAACCTTTTGGTTGTGATTATGTAGTTACTTATTGACAAAACTCAAATTATTTCTTACTCTTAATTGGTGATTCTACAAAGATTTTTATATCCAGGTCACCGTCAAAGGGTAAAAGCTCTTCAGGAACCACCCTATACTCAGAAGGAAGCCGAGCTTGCTGGTGGAATTGGTGTAGGCTGACTTTACGTCCTGTGAATTTTCAGCATATTTTTTAAGTTGTGATAGATAAAAGTTTGGTTTTTGATTCTGCTGCTAACATCGTGTTGCACCATATGCCTGAAGTAAGATTTACAATTGAAGGCTGCCATGTTTTTTATTTGATCTGTAAAAGTATAAGCGGTTTGTAATTACTTTCGTTCATTTACCGGAAAGAGTGTTTTTGCTTTTTCATTTGGGAGTAGCAGTTGCAGAAAAGTTCATTTTACTTTGGTATTTGTGTATTGAGATTAAGGTTTACGTTGGGGTGGCAATCCGTTTTTCCTCTCTTTCTGGTTAGTAGTGATATGCCAAACATAACTTCTGCAAGTCACTAAATTTTCCGATTCTGTTTGCTTTCGGTCTTTTTGTATTTGTTAAGCAATGTTCAATTTTGGAAGCGCATTGCGTCGTTTGGATAAAAGTTGTTATCTAAGTTCATCCATATTTCATTGGCTTTTACTAAACCCGTTTTGCATAGCCAAGTTGTTCTACGTTCATTTCGGCGTAGTTGAAGTTGTGCTATAAATTTCATGAAGCAATTAGTACTTTAGCGGTATGACGACAATTTCGCACGAAGTCTCTTCACTAGCAGTTGGAGTCGAAAAGCTACGACATATATATAGAGCTGCCAAAGAAACGGCGAAGCGGTTGCCTGCGAACTTAAGGATAGATCCTCGTGGTGTATTTTGTAATAATGCTTTAAACTTGAAAGATATAACTGTTTATGGTTTTGACTATGATTATACTCTAGCCGTTTACACCCGAGCAATCAACAAACTTATTTATGATCTCTCTGTGGAGCGATTAATTGAACATTTTAAGGTGTCGATTGAGCCTTGTTAAATTTCTGGGCTAGTTGATAGTTTTAAAACAATTTTTTTTTTTCAAACTGAAGCTAATATTTAAAAATTCAAATCTTTTAGTATCCACGTGGCCTACTGGATATACCATATGATCCGACCTTTGCAATAAGAGGTTTACACTATGATATAGCCAACAGTTGCCTCCTGAAGGTCCCATTTATTGTATTAACATCTTTGTTTAGTTTTTAAACTTAAAGGCTCTACTTTTGGACAGTTTCTTTACAACTTTATCAAAGTAAGTGATGGAAGAAGGGATTTTTAGGTAGACGCTTTCTCGCAAATTGAAAACGGCACTGTCTATAGGGGTCGAGTTAAACTACCAAAGGAAGAGATTCTCAGGATTTACAGAAATTTCTCTCTCTCAAAAGCCAAAGTTCATAATTTTTTTATTTGATTTTAAATGTTTGTGATTCCAATTCTGCTACTAAACCGAAATAATGCTCAAAAAATTTTGCGGAAGCAATTATAGAGTAGCACCTGTTACTCAGTGCCTACTTTATAAACAGTTAGAACTAGGCTAATAAGTACTCAAAAAACTTTTTAGGAACGCCATTTGATGCAGTTGAGTGATCTGTTCAGTTTGCCTTGGGCTGGCTTGTTGTCAACTGTTGTGCAGTATTTTGACGATAACTCAATTGTCTTCGACCCGCTATGTACATATCAGGATGTCGCTGTGAAACTTTAAGCTAATTTTTGGTTTTGTAATTTTTTGACCGAATTTGCCCCAAGAATTTTTTTCAGACTTCGCATTTGTGATCGTGCGCATGCGAAGGTTGCTGTATGTTTTAATTTGTAGAAATAGAGCTTTATATCGCTTAATCATTGGTCTTCTCATCGTTATCTGCGGTTTCAACAGTTGCAATACGTTTGTTATGTAGGCAAGTGTGCAGTATGTTCACGAGTGTGGAAGTATGCACAGCAATATAATTGCTAATTTGGAGCAGTATGTTCACAAAAACACTGGTTTAAAAGATTACCTCACAAGACTGATCTCAAACGGGAAGAAACTTTTTATTATCACAAACAGTCCATTTTCCTTCATGTACGGTTAAGTGATTTTTTTTTTTTGTTTCGTTGTAATGAGGAGGGAAAAGGACTTTTGAATATTATGTTTTGAACTTAGTATTGTTATAAGGTTGTTTTTTTCTCGGAGTAAAAGGAACTGATCAAATTGCGATCAGAGTTTAGAATGTTAGCAGAAAAGAGATCTCGTTTTGGTATTTCAAGAATAAACATAAAAGAGCAATATTTTTTGGCAGAAATTCATTTTCATCATTATTTCTGTAAGGTGTTGTATAAGATGTTGTATTTAGGAGTCGCGGGATGTGTTATATGCTTGATGATGATTGGCGGACCTATTTTCAGTATATTGTTGTCATGGCAAAAAAACCAGGCTTCTTCCAGGTCCAAATAGTATTTAAAATATTAGCTGTTGTTTGTTCGTGAGAAGCGCACATATTCAGTGCTTTATTGGAGTCACTAGTTCCAAGACTTTTTAAAAGGATTTTACTTTTAAACTTTAGGGCCGCGCCCCGTTTAGAAGGTATCATGAAGAAGACGATAGCTTGTCGTATGAAAAGGTTACATCTTTGGAACCTGGAAAGATATATGCTGGGGTATCGCTATCGTAACATTTTTTTAAAACACATTGGTCGCTTTGACTTTTATTCCTTTATTTCAGATTTGTGAGGCATTTAGCCTTGAACTTATTTTCAGATTTAAGAGCTTTGAATAATTTTTTCCGTAGTTTGTTGTTTACTAAATAAGAGGGTTATACATTTATGAACTTCCTGAATTGTGTAAATTATTACTGGTTAAAAAAAAAAGGTATGGTAATGAGGCAGAATGAAGAAGAGAATCCTGATGTGAGAGAGCGAGTAGGTTTTTAGCAATTCGATTACTTCACTTCCTTGCTTGAGCATTATTTCACTAGTTCTTTCTTTAATTTTTCAAGCCAAATTGAGAGCCTGATTGGAAATAAAATTAATCTAAGCCAATTATAGCTGTTTCATTGCTATTAATATTTCAATTTCTTTAGTGTCATTCTAAAAACTGAATAAGCTCAGTGAAGTTACCAAAAGTCATGTGGATGAATTTATTTATGAAATGCAGCACTTTGTCAAAAAACTGATTTTCATTTTTCATTTAGGGGCACATTTCGGAGCTCTCTAAACAGCCATTATTCAGAAACAGACAGGTCCTTTATTTTGGTGATCATATCTATTCAGATCTTGCTGATCCAATGCTAATGCTTGGCTGGCACACAGCCGCCATTGTTCCAGAAGTTGCGCGCGAAATACGGTACCAGAACGACGAGGACTATCAAAAATCAATTAATTGGATAGAGTATTTAACATTGCTGGTAGAAAAATACCAAAAGTACTCACAGTCTGATCCGCAAATCAAGGCACTTATTCGTGAATGGCTGGACGAAAGAGCAGAAATAAGGTTTTTTGCTTCCTTTTACTTCCAAATGCTATAATAAGCTGGACTCTGTGTCCACAAAAGTTTGTAGGCAAGATCCCATCGATTAACTGCTGCTCATTTTGCCCTGAAAAATGTACATCTCTATTTTTCTTGTTATGCTCTTTTGTAAATAAGGGCTTCTGACCAAAGCTTTATATGACAGTTAATTATTTTTTTTTCTAATACTGTCGAAAAAAATTGAATAGCATAATGGAATTTGAGTCAGTTGTTACATTTCTCTTTTTTGAAATTTATTATTGACTGAGGAAGATCCGATACTATCATTTTTTCATTGACGGCGTGTAGCTATAGTTGCATAGCTCCCACTGGCTTCGAACTCAAAAATATTTTGCAAGAATAGATGCATTGTGCGAGAAAATTGTGAAAAGAAGAAAGGGGAATGTTTGATTTCTTTTTGGTTAATTATATTTAATGAGGAAAGATTTTTACATTTTTTGAATACTGTTTTGACTGGCTTGTTTCCTTCTTATTTTTGGCTAGCAAATGTTTGCCTGCTGCACTACATAAACCGTTCTTAAGTGCTTGTCGGTGCTGGATTATTTCACTGTTAGATATTTTTTCCAGGGAGAGGACAAAAACGATGTTTAATCCGCAGTTTGGCTCCATTTTCCGCACGCACCACAATATGACGGTTTTTTCAAGAAGTTTGAGCCGCTTTGCAGATATATATACTAGTCGCTTACCGAATATGCTGAAATATAGTGACCATCATAGGTTCTTTCCAAGGCGTTACGCTCTACCACACGAATGTTTGAATATCAAGCCCCCTTCACTAAGTGATTTCCATTTATAAAGGATTATTTGCTGAAAATTGTATTTAGGGCTTTAATCAATTTTGATAGTAAAAATGAAGTTTATTGTTTATTGTGATGATGCAGTTTAGATGTAAAAAAGTGTCATTTTGTTGTTTTCTTTTATTCAAGTTTCAAGGTCGTTAATTACATCATTTTTCTCATAAAAGACATCATGCTTTTGACTGCCGCTATGCTAGTGCCTCCAGACAAACAACGCACTTTTGATTTCTCTGTTCCCATTACTTCGTATGCGCATGGTGCTCAAGTTGAGCGTGCCGTTAGGCCTCCGCGAAAAGCATTCGTTGTTTCGAGAATGTCCAAAATTTAAGGGCCGAAGCAGTTGAAGCAAGACTGCAGCGTTTGCTTTAAAACCTAGTTTGTATCAGCAGAAGCAAGTCAGAATTATGCAGCGAAGCAGCAACGAAATTTAGAGTAGAAGTACTCATTTTTAACACCGACTCGTTGTGATAGGTGGTAATGGGGAACGATATCGCAAAAAACGATTTAGACGTTATTTTTGTTAACAACACTGCTTTAATTTTTTAACGGGTATTATTTCTGTTGACCGGGTGTCGTAATATTGCTTCCCTGCACCTACGATGGATGGGAAGATTTTGAGCAAAGTTGACGAGGGCGTAATTTCGCTCTATTTTTAGCCTTAAGAGCGAGGGGATGGAAGCTGTTTGGTGTGGGCAGGCAATTTTATCACTATCCTGGTTTCTCCAGCAAAGGCAGGATAGGTCAGAAACTATTCTGGCTGTTTTAGATTTGCTGTCGCTGTAGCCAGACGAAGGCCGCGCTATCGGCGTACCACGAATCAGAAAATTGTACGCCCAATTGGCAAACACTCTCTTTTTGCCTTTATGGCGTAAAAAACATGACATTATCTTGTGTGCCTGAGCATCTTCAATTGATCTCAACATCACCGTATCTGGATTTGAATTCACATCTCCACAGATGGTCAGGTCTGGTACCCAGCCATCAAACTCGAAGTCAAAGTCCAGAACCGTTGCCCCCAAACACGCATACCAACCTATAGACAGCTTGCCCCAATTTTCTAATCCAACATCATGGCGCAATAACAATAAACAAGTGACCATTCGGCTGCTAACCCTCCCTCCACTCGACAACAGTCGAATTAGTGCTTGAATCACCGACTCTTCCGCTGCGGGAGTCGATCTAAGCCACGTCTTCTTTTCAAATATCGCCCTCCAAACTGAAGAACTCAAGTATTTGTAAAGCCTTGGCACCCAGACAAACTGTTCATCACTTGTGTCTCACACCTTCATTTGAATCAGTCGCAAAGCAGCCGAATGTTTTTTTTACTGTTCGGCGAACACTACTGTCACCTAAATCGAAGTTTTACCCCCTACCTCTCTGCCCAAAAATCCTTTTTGCTTTACTCAATCCTGACTCACTCTTTTGCCGTGTTGCAATTCCAACCTCGTCGATCTCTTACATGCCTCGAAGCCTGCACGTTTATACATGATCTTTCCCTGGCTTACCTGCCAACATGTACCCAAACCTACCTCAACATATGTTTCCCCACGCTCCACATTCTCACAACCTGAGTCCAACGCATCCAACATCAAATACCCATTTCTAAAATAATGGGTTCAAATTTACGGCATAACTTGCCAACTTTCGAGAAGTATCTCCTCAGCCGTTCTGTGTGGTTAGAATAGTTTAGAACTTTTTGCAATTTGGTAAAAAATGCTCATTTCACTAATGCCTCGCTCCCAAACTTTTCTGACAAGGCGTTCGTTATTACTCTGTAGTGTTAGGCTCCTCCTAGAAAATCATTCAGAAAGTTTCTGGCTTTTTCTTTCAAGCAACCTATTTAGTATCATAGTTTCTACGTTTTCAATATTAGCTGAGCATCCCTGTGAATTCTTGCCAGAAATATACCCACCCTAAGGAACTGCCGGAGAAGGTTGGCGGGGGGAGATCGGGCAACCGTTGAAAGAATTGTGCGTTTTCATTAGGAGATTCCTTCCTTGGCTCTTTTTTAATTTCCCATTCCAATTCAATTCGAAGCTCTCGTGTGTACAACAGAACTGACAAGAAATTATCACCCTTATTTAGAAACTCATCATACAACTTTTTTCCTTGTCCCTTTCTTGTCTTTAAAGTGACGCAAGATATCCAATGTATTCCGTATTTTTTTCTTCAG